GGAAACCCTGTCTCGAAAAAACCAAAAAAAAAAAAAAAATAAAAAAAAATAAAAAAAAAATGCATAAGTCAATATCAACTCCACAATGTAAGCACTGTTGTTATCCCATTTTATAGATGGAAAAATGAGACCAGAGATGATAAGTGAGAAAGCTATGATCCATCCAGACATTTGAATATAACCACTAGCCAGGGATCTAGACCAGGAAAGCCAGAGAAGTCTGCTTGGCAGAGAGGAAGCCCTTGGGAGACATCTTGGAGCTGGGGCTAGAGAAGGGACAGAGCATTTGGTATAGAGTGCAGTGTGAAAAAAAAAACCAAACAAAAAAAAAACCCCTTTACTCTGCATTCTAGTTGGAGCAGATTGGGGATGACTCCAAGCTAGCCCTGCAGCAACTCCAGGCCCAGATGGAAGATTACAAGGAAAAGGCCCGGAGGGAAGTAGCCGATGCCCAGCGCCAGGCCAAGGACTGGGCCAGTGAGGCCGAAAAGAATTCAGGGGGGTTGAGCCGGCTTCAAGATGAGGTAGGAGCCTAAGTGACTGGAGTGGCATATGAGGACAGACAAGAGGGGATTTGTCATCCATACAGCAGGGGCTTTCAAACTGTTGCTGCATATTAGAGCCACCTGGGAAGGTTTTTAAGACAGGTTTCTCTGTATAACCCTGGCTATCCTGAAACTCACTCTGTAGGGAGGCCTCTGCCTCCCTAATGCCAGGATTAAAGGTGTGTGCTACCACCTCTCGTCCAAGATTTTTAAAAATTTTAATGCCTAAACATCATTTCATATTACCTAGATCATAATTTGGGACCTAGGATTGATAGTTTTTTGTTTGTTTGTTTTGAGATAAGGTCTCACTGTGGCTAGCCTTAAACTCGCAGAGTTCTGTTTGTCTCTGTCTCCTAAGTGCTAAAGGATTTAAGGCATGCACTACTATATTTGTCAGGATTGGCAGGTGTTTTTGTTTTTCAAGACAGGGTTTCTCTGTGTAGCTTTGGAGCCTTTCCTGGAACTCCCCGTGTAGACCAGGCTGGTCTCAAACTCACTGAGATCCACCTGCCTCTGCCTTCCAAGTGCTGGGATCAAAGTTGTGCACCACTACTGCTTGGTGCATTGGAAGTTTTAAAACCTCTTTAAGTAGGCACAGTGGTGCCTGCTCCCCAGTAAAACTCTCAAGTAATTCCCATTTGTGTAGAAAGTTTTAAGACAATAAAGAAAATGAACTAAAAGCGTTCTTCTGTCACCATGAGCTGGCAGTTCTGGGCAAGCTCTCTACCACTAAGCTGAGGTCCCAGCCTGGCTCTAAAGAATGTCAGTGTGAAATAGTTCTTCCCTTGGGCAGACTGGGCCCACTCTCCACCCCTACATTCCAACTAGGCTGAGCTGTTGTATGTTGTCTTTGGGTCCAGCTGCAAAAGTTGCGGCAGGCCTTGCAGACATCCCAGGCTGAGCGGGACACAGCCCGGCTGGACAAAGAGCTGCTGGCCCAGCGACTGCAGGGGCTAGAGCAGGAGGCTGAGAACAAGAAGCGCACCCAGGACGACAAGGCTCGACAGCTGAAGAACCTCGAGGTAAAGGCACAGACAGGCTGGGTGGGAAGGGGGGTTCTGGGCTGGCACAGGTGACCAGGCTGTAAGCAGGGAAAAGAGCCAGTGTATCCCAAGCTTTTTTTCTATACTAGAGAATGAAATTTGAGAAGCCACAATGGATGGTTTTGCTGGGTTACTGTGTTTTTTAAAGTATGAACTAAATGCAGCTGGTGAAAAATGTATAGATGCCATGTAAAATTTTGGATTTCTGTCATCTTTTGCATTTGGACAGGGTTAGCATTGACCTTCTTAGACCTGAGTTCTGCATGTCACTAGTTGGCAGGAGCTGAGCATGGCTCTCCTCCCTTAGAGTGAATGATAGTCTCCAATTTGCTGTACTTGAAAGTAAGAATAATAGCAACAAGCGTATAACTCACTGTGGGTTAGACCTCAGAGTCTCCCTGTGAGGTAGATGGTCTCATCTCCATTTTACAGATAAGGAAAACTGAGATACAGAGATAAGTAACCTCCCAGTGGAGTGCATTCGGTGTCAGAAGGTGGTAGGTCTGATTCTCAGGCCCAAGTGGTTGTCCCGAACCCATGCTCTTACTTCTGCATGGTACTGCGTGGCTTAAATTTGCCCCACACTGAGGAAATGCTGCTTTGAACGATTCCGTCCTGGCCTCTGCTGGGAACTTGTTTCACTTTCAGTTTTTCCACTAGTTCTTCAAGAAGGAATGGATCCCAGGGTTTGCCTTCCTGGTCAGCAGAGGGCGCTGGCTCCATGGTGGCTTTGAGCATTGAGAAGGTTTCTGGAATGTGCTGGGAGGAATGGGGCCTTGATCTGAGTTTGTTGTTCTAGGGCCCAGAATTTGGGACAGAGTTGACCTTTTGTCCTTCTGCCTCAGGAGAAAGTCTCACGGCTGGAAGCAGAGTTAGATGAAGAAAAGAACACAGTGGAACTGCTAACAGATCGTGTGAACCGTGGCCGGGACCAGGTGACACCCCCTGAGCCCTCACTGTGCCTACTCCCCATTCCCTACACCCTGGCTCTCTCAAAGACAGCTTTGCTCTCCTGTCTTTTATAACCTGGACGGTTCTGGCAAGGCAGTGTGCTTCAGGTTCTCATTGGCTTTGGAAAGAGTAGACAGGTTTCCTTAGGTGAAAGGAAGCGGAGAATTAGAGTTGGCTACAGTCCTGATGGCCCAGACTGTGCTGACCCTAGTGAAGACTATTTTAATTCAGAAGTGCTGGTTGTGGGATTTGGGGAGCCTTCTTTCTAATGATTCTTCCCATTTGAGTAGCTATAATTTCTTCTTTTAACATGACACCCAATCATCACTTTTTTGTTTGCTTTTGTTGTTGTTTTTTTTTTAAGACAGGGTCTCCAATGTAGCTCTGGTTGGCCTTGGAACATGCTATGGGGATCAGGCGGGCCTCATACTCACAGATCTGCTAGCCCCTGCCTCCCAAGTGCTGGGATTAATCTATATTATTCTACTGTTTCCCCTCCCATAAAACTATCAATATCATAATACAAAATGCATTTGCTCTAATTTCAAATGTCCCTGTAGTCTTCCAGTTCTGATACTGTGCCGAAGTCCAAAGTTCAAAATCTGTTCTGAGACTCAAAGCAGTCTTTTAATTGTAAGCTCCACACCCACATCTAGCATCCAGGGCTCATGGTGACATCATCTGGCTCTGTTGGTCTTGGGCAGTCTTTCCCCTCCAGCTCTGCTATCTGAAGCACATGTAGCCTTTCTCCTCTTACCAGCCCTTGGTGCCTGCATCTTTCCACTGCAAATGTACCGCATTCCTGGCACCTGACACCTTAGGTTCTCCAATGCAATTTGGGCTTCACTTTCACAGATTATGCAGTAGCTTTTTGGGGCCACTTGCAGGAAACTGATTTTTGGGGATACAGTCCAACATAATGAGGAAGGAGGATGAAGAATGTATGATGGCTGGTTAGGCCATTGAGAGTGGAACACTGGTAATTCTAGGCTGAGAGTACTTAGTTGCCTGAGAATTTGGGGGACCCAGGGTTCAGAGATCTGCTTCTGTTGATTCACTTTGCTGGTTTAGCATTAGTCTTTCCCAAGTCTAATTCTTCTCTCCCATCCCTAATAGGTGGATCAGCTGAGGACAGAACTTATGCAGGAGAGATCTGCTCGGCAGGACTTGGAGTGTGACAAAATCTCCTTGGAGAGACAGGTGAAAAGGAGTCTTGGTGATGGACTGGGGTGGAGGGTGGGAGTGGGGGTGCGTGGGGGGGGGAGACGACGGACAGACAGAGAACCACCTGGAGGAGGAACCAGGGGATCTTCCCATCTTTCTCAGAACAAGGACTTGAAGACCCGGTTAGCCAGCTCAGAAGGCTTCCAGAAACCCAGTGCCAGCTTCTCTCAACTTGAGGCCCAGAATCAACAGTTACAAGAGCAGCTGCAAGCTGAAGAGAGGTGATACAAACCTGTCATTCATCCCTCTTCCCCTCCCTTTCTTCCTCTGGGTTTTTCTTCTCTGGGTCTCCCTTCATCTTCCATCTCACATGTGGCCAACCTGGCCTCATCTTCTGGGAGTCCTCCTTGCTCCTGATATAGAGCAGAGTTGTGGAAATTCTGGATCCTCCCCATCCACCAGTGAGGCTCATGACAGAAAAGTCCTTGGAGGTGGTACAGTGCTAAGTAAAGGTTCCCTTAGGAACGGCAACAGCCATAGACCACCTTTCCTGCTCTCTCGTAGAGAGAAGACAGTTCTGCAGTCCACCAATCGGAAGCTAGAACGGAAAGTTAAAGAGCTCTCTATCCAGATCGAAGATGAGCGTCAGCACGTCAACGACCAGAAGGACCAGGTGAGGACATGGCCCTCTGTGGACAAGCAGCCTCGGGGCAAGTATATGTTCTTTTCAAGGCCAGAGGAGGCCACCATCCCCAATGTCTTCCGCACTTAGAATTTGCTTGTGTAAGGATGAGATTAGCTTGAGAGGTCTAGCCTAGAGTAGTCATGCCTCTGTATTGAGTGTGCTAGTTTTTCTACATGTTATATGTACATGAACTCATTGAATCCCCAAATAACCTTTGTGTTATGCTTGTATATACGGTGTATATATGTGTACTCCCGTGCACAAATGTGCACATGTGTGTAGAGGCCAGAGGACAACCTTGGGCGGGTGTTACAACCTTGGGATGGTGGGGTTGGGCACCATCCAGCTTTATTTTTTTTTCTTTTTTTTTTTTTGAGACAAGGTATCTCACTGGCCTGGAACTTGCCAAATAGGTTAGGCTGGCTAGTGTGCCCTAGGGAGATTATATGGCAAGCACTTTATTGACTGAGCCATCTCCTCCACTCCCTAACCTCCTCTCAACAATTCCCTGAGGCTGGATCACAACATTTTGGGGGTGATGGGAGCAATTGTCCCCTGTCAGAATCGTTGCAGGGGAGGTCCCAGCCCTCAGGAGTAAATGCTTTTCTAATGTGGGGACATGCTATCCGGTTTAGCTAAGCCTGAGGGTGAAGACTTTGAAGCGGCAGGTGGATGAAGCTGAAGAGGAAATTGCGCGGCTGGACAGCCTGAGGAAGAAGGCACAGAGGGAGCTGGAGGAACAGCACGAGATCAATGAGCAGCTCCAGGCCCGGATCAAAGCCTTGGAAAAGGATGCCTGGTATGGCCGCCTTTCTGTACCTTGCTCTGCACCATGCTCCTGACGGGGGTGGGGATGGGCCCTGTGAGCCACGTGAGCAGCTTTAGGTCTTTGTGTGGAAGGGTGATGGTCTCAGTCTGCTCCGTCTCTCTCTGACTCAGGCGAAAAGCTTCCCGCTCAGCTACCGAGGCAGCCTTCAAACAAGAGGAGCTGAGCTCTGATGAGGAATTTGACAGTGTCTACGACCCCTCATCCATTGCATCACTGCTCACGGAGAGCAACCTGCAGACCAGTTCCTGTTAGTGCATGCTCTGCTAAGATGCCTGCCTCCAGAGTCTTCTTTTCCTATGGGTGACCCAATTCAGACTTTGGGTTGGGAGGGGTCAGAGTGTCGGTGATAAACACGACGGTTAGCCACGAGCTGGTGGGTGGGCTTGTCCTTGTCACTGGAAGAGTGGGCAGGCCTGCTGAGCCCTCCTATAGGTGCTGACCTCTCCCTCACATCCTTAGAACGGGACTTATGGTCGGAAAGGATGGGTATTGCCATGTATGTAGAGCTTTGTTTCTTTAATATTTAACCATATGGCTCAGGGAAATGCCCAATATTCTGCTTCCTGGATCCCTGCAACCTTTTTTCCTCCCATTTTGAAGCAGGGGAGGGAACATTATGGGTAATGGGCATGCAGGCATGGCTCTACCCACTTTTCAGATACTTTTTTTTTTTTTTTTTTTGGTTTTTTGGAGACAGGGTTTCTCTGTGTGGCTTTGGAGCCTATCCTGGCACTTGATCTGCAGACCAGGCTAGCCTCGAACTCACAGAGATCCGCCTGCCTCTGCCTCCCAAGTGCTGGGATTAAAGGCGTGCGCCACCAATGCCCAGCTTCAGATACTTCTTTTTGCACAGTCATGGGCCCATGAGTAGTCACTAGCATCTCTTCAGTTGCAATATTTTTGTTTTCTCCAAGTCACTGGGTCCAGGAGACCTCTCGCCTTCTTTCCATCTTTACCATCCCTGCCTTGCTGCTGTACTCTCAGTGCCTTAGCAGTGTGAAATGAGGATGCTGTTCTTGCCTTTGTAAACCCACACATTCATACCTCTCCAAAGACCAGCCTATCCTCACAGGGGCCCTCAGCCTGTCCTCCTTCCCTAGTGACTGGGCAGGAGAGCGACAGTCTGCTCTGCCAACCAGCCCCCTGGGAAGACGGGCTTCGATGGGCCTTGGTAAGGTGGTGGGAACTAGTTCCGCTCAGGGCTTTCATCTTTCTTCTTGCCCTCTGTGACTGGATGCTGCCATAAAGTGGTTGTACCTGGGAACATGAGGACTGTTTATACAGGTTCTGAAAGCAAGCATCTAGTCCTTGTGGCTTCTCTGACCGGATGTGCCCAGCCTCGATGGAAACCAACAGATCCCTGCTTTTCTCAGGAAGTGGGCCCTGATTCAGAGCTTTGCCTGGGATTAGAAGCTGACTGTCAGTATGATGGGAAGGGGCAATGGAGAATTTATTTCTCCTTTGAGTCAATTTTCCGTGTGCCAAGCTCTGGGGGGTGAAGGTAACCGGTGGGGATGGTTCACCTCTTATTTCCAAAGTAAGTTCTGTTCTCATCAATCACTTGTAATTTCATGAATTGAAAAAAAAAGATATTCTGTAAATCAGATATTTTCTCCTAATCTAATCCAGCTTTGGTTTATTTTAAATTAAATATTAAAATGGCATATCTATATTAAAATTCCTGTCTTCATTTTCCTGGCTAATTTGAGGGTCTACTCTAAAGTTGTTTTTTAAAAAAATAATTTATAAAAAAAATAAAATAATTTATTTAACTTTATTTTATGTGCATTGGTGTGAAGGTATCAGATCCCCTGAAACTGGACTTACAGACTGTTGTGAGTTGCCATGTGGGTGCTGGGAATTGAACTCAGGACCTCTGGAAGAGTAGCCAGTGCTCTTAACCACTGAGCCATCTCTCCAGCCCCAAGTTTTGTTTTATAATTTTTTAACATTTGTGTGTGTGTGTGTGTGTGCATGCGTGTGTGTGTGTGTGTGTGTGTGTGTGTGTGTGTGTGTGTGTGTGTATAGAAGTATGTGTGTATAGGTCAGAGAACAACTTCTGAGAGTCCTTGCTTTCCACAGCATGGGTCCTGGGGATTGAACTCAAGTTGTCAGACTTGGCAATAGGCACCTTTACCTGCTAAGCAGGCCTTATTTCAAGAAGTCATTTAAACTGTACATTAAAATGAGACTTTAGCTCATTTTCAGAGGATCTAGGAAACATGGACTAATGGTAGAATCATTCTTTCCTAACAACCTCTGGGAAAAGTAAGGAATGCTGCCTTAGTTATTCTTCTGTTGCTGTGATAAAACACTGTGACCAAGGCAACCTAGAGAAAAGTGTTTATTTGGGCTTACAGTTCCAGAAGGCTGAGTCTCTCACCATCATGATGGGGAGGCACGGTGGCAGGCAGGCAGAAGTTGATGGCTTAAGTCCCAAACCACAAGCAGAGCAAACTGGGGATGGTAGGAGTCTTCGAACTCCGAACTCTAGAAGCCTGCCCCAGTGATAGAATTCCTCCTCAACCTCCCAAACAGTGCCTCCATATGGGGGACTTGCTCACCAAACCACCACGAGCGCCTCTTTGAGGGACAGAGAAGAGCCCAGAAATGGGTCACTGGTATCGCCAGCTTTTATCTTCCGGGTGTAGAGCAAACATCTAATCTAACTGGCAAGTGACTCAGACCAATTCCAGTCCCCCTCACTTGAAGGAGCTAGCTGTTCACCAAAACCAATTCTAGCTGTAGTTGTCCCCGCCTAGTGAAGCTGGTCAGCCCTTACACACTGCCTGTCCTATCTGTAGATCAGCTAGTGGGATAGCCATCTACCAGAGTTCAGCCCTCAAGATTCCAGCCTAGACTTAAGAAGCGAATGCCGTAGGTGCAGTTGAGACTCACCTTTTAAGGCAATGTGTCCCGCCTCTCCCCACCATATAAGGGCAGCTTCTGCAAAACAAGCCCCACCCAGAGCTTAGTTGGCTTTGACTTCGGCCTGGGCGGCTTGCCAGGGATAAGCACCTGCCAGACTGGCTTAGACTAGTCCTAGTGAGCTGGCCCTTGGTGCCTGCCTTTTTACCACGGAGGAAAGATTTACTCAGCTCTAAAAACCCGTTTAGGAAGAGGAGAGACCATAGAAGCATGTGCCGGCCCCAACTCACTATTTACAGAGGACCACACAGGTTCTTTCCCTGCACCGATCCTGGAGAACTGAAAGAGGACAAGACTATTGAAGAATACTGAGATACCACCAAAGACACTACCTCATCGTAGCGGAAGTAAAACTCTTATTAAGCGACCACCCAACCTTCACTCCCAAGCCCCCCCTTTATGTAAATATGCGACAGCGCTAGTAGGCAAGTCCTGAAGCCTCTTGGCACCGCCCCACCTCTCTCTTCCGCTCAACTCATTGACAAATACCGTGTTGGGCGTGGCCCGCTTAAGCCCCGCCCAGACGCGCCTGTACAAGGGGGCGGTTCTGCGCGCGCCCGCCCAGTTGTCGCCGGACCTCAGAGTTGAGGACGCTTGTGCGACCTCCGTGGAAAGATGAACGGGACGCGGAACTGGTGTACCTTGGTGGACGTGCACCCGGAGGGCCAGACCGCGGTAGGTCCTCGCGCTCACCCCGCCTTCCCGCCTGGGCACGGTGGCTTTCCAGTCGCGTCGCTCCCGGGTTCATGCTGAGCTGGCCGACATCACCTGACGCCCGACTTGGTGCGGTCAGTCGCCGGTCGCCCCGTGCGCTTTCTTCCTTTGCCGTGTGGCGGATGGTGGCGTGGGAGGCACGGGACGAAACCCTGGCGGCTCCTGGGCTGGGGAGTACCTGTCCTTGGCGAGGACACTGAAGCCCCGGCCCGGGGACAGGGCGCGTTACTCAGGCGTCTGGTGGGCAGCTAGATAGGGTCGTGGGAGACGCTCAAGGGCCCGGATCCTTGTGGGGGCTTCGGCACATTGTGCGGGTCCAGGCGGGTTAGGCTTTTCCGCGTGTCGCGATGGCCTCCAGAAGCCCTAAAAGACTTTTATGGTGCTTCTGGTGATCCTTTAACTAGGAAAGGGGGCAGAGGGTGGAATCCTAGGGCTGGGAATTGGTCAGAGATTCTACCTTTCGCTAAGAGAATGGATTGAGCTTTCCACTCGACCGTCCTCTCTTTCGGATTTCTCCTTTTTTTCTTCTTGTCTGTTTGATCCCCTCCCTCTTTCGGTCAACCGGTAGCTTCCTGGGTTTTGCTTCCGTGTCCAGTTGCCAAGCCCCGGGAGGGGATGAAGGTGATGTCTTGGAACCCAGGCGGAGACGGGAACCCTCCTGGAGAGGGTTAGGGAGAGACAGAGAGCGTTCTCCAGTGCAAGCCAGTTTTCCCTGGTCCCCCCAAGTCCTCCCCACTCCAGCATCCTTAGCTGACCGCATGATTTTTCTCTCTCCAGAGGGAAAAGCCAGTAATTTGATGCTGAATGTTTCTAGGCGTTGCTGGGGGATCCAAATACACCATAGATCTAATTAATTGATTTCCAAGCTATTGTTGGAGAGTGAAATGAGAGCCAAGGTGATGGGGGGGAGGGTTGATCTCCCCCACATCTGATTCCTTTGCTTCTGCCTGTGTCAGCATGTCCCTGAGGCAAAGCTAACCCGGCCACAGCTGGATTATGGCTCTTCTTCAAAGAATAGCTGTAGAATAGGTGCTCATTTGAAGTTTAGAGTACAGCTGATCACTGAAGCCTGTTCAGTGTCCCCTTGACATTTTTGCCTAGAAGTATGAATGTTTCTGCCACATTACAAGTCTTGACACGCCCAAACCTCAGACACCCCACCTCCCCAGGTAAGAGATGCTGACCAAATGGAAAAAACAAAAAAAAACCCTACAACCTATCAGCCTCAAGTCCTCCATGCTCTTGCTGTTTTGGAATGGTTGAGACAGGGAAAGAATGTGGAATGAGTAAGAATGAGGGGTCGTGGGCTTCTTTTTGCTTGGTGTGGAAAAAAGACCCACATCATATAGGAGAAAGATATTTAAGACCATGGCAACACGGAGAAGGACATGCTGCTGTCCCTTGATTCCTTTGTTGCTTGTTCGGTGGGATAGAAAACAGAGATGGAAAATAGCAAGGAATTTGCTCTCGGCCATGAGTAGGTTTAGAGTTAACTAGAGAGCTTTGTATCAGAGGGGAGTCAGACCAGACTTGAGGCTTACTTTGCTGGAAAGCCAGGAATGAAATAACCATTGCCTGGGTTTCCTCTTGGAGACATTCCTGAGTTCTTGAGAAGGAAGGGCAGATGGTAAACAATCAATCAGTCAGGAGACAGGCTGTGTCCTGGATTCCTCTCCTCTGAGCCAGTCTGCAGATAGAATTTATAGTTTTGGACAGTCCCTGGGAGCCTGTCATGCAGTCATGCACTCATACCACTGAACGGTGCTCAGTAAGGATGCAAAAGGTTCCAGTAAATAAACGAATCGACGGATGTCTGATTTATATGGTGTGTGTGTGGGGGGGGGTCCAACCCAGGACTTTGGGCATGCCAGGCAAGCATTTAGCTAATTGAGCAATGTCCCCAACAAAACCCCCACCCCCATCAGGAAAGTACTGTAGGTACTGAAAATTGAACCTGGGCTTCATGCCTCCCCTCTACCCCCTAGCCCCCACAATTTGGGAGTGTAGATGGTTGGAGCCAGAATCCTGGTACCACGTGTCTTTTAGTGCTTCACACTTGATGTGGAAGTACAGCTAATACACTGTACTGCTTTTATTGTTGAACATTTGTAAAGGCAAAGTCTTTCAAAACTGCAGACCATAGCCACTATTCGGGTCTGAAATCAACATAGTGGGCAGAAAGCTTTTGAGCTTTGGTCGGTTCCCAGCACTGTACCCCACCTTTGTGTTTTGGGAGTGCCTTTCTCTTGCTTAATTGTCTCTATTCCTGTCACTAAGCAAACATAAACAAAAACATAGTGGGAAGGATGGGCATAGTGGCTCACACCTTAAATCCCAGCAGATGGATCTCTGGGAATTTGAGGCTAGCCTGCTAAATATCAAATTCCAGGCCAGCCATGCCTACGTACATTGCAAGATCTTGCCTCAAAACAATAAAACATAGTGGAGGAGAAACAGTATTTAAAAAAAATAGAGCTCATATCCCTGGAGCAAGGTCTTTTGGACAAAAACATTGTGTCCGATATATGTGAGTTTGAAGGGTTTAAAGGTGCAGCCCACCTTGTCTGGTTGTAAATGTATTTTAATGTCAAAAGTGTTCATTTGAAAGTGACTTTGGTAAATTATACTGGCATAGAAAGTACAAATGAATATCAAACTCATTCTTATTAGACATTTCTAAAACTTTCTGTTGCTTATAGTAAACGGCACAAAGTGACCTAACTACCTTAAGAGGAATTTATTAGAAAGTAAAGCTTAAAATCTCCAAGCAGAGGGAGTCCTGGGAAGCAACATGGATGCTTTCTACTCCTGGGTGGTTCCAGCTGTTTTAGGTCCTTTGACATTCTTCTGAGATTCCAGGGAGAGGTACCACTGTCCCCAGGCATTCTCCTTACCTAGGGTAGAGCAGGGTTCCTGGACTGGTAGGTTTACAAGGTTGTCGGGTCAGGACTGGGTGCTGCAGAGCAAACCCAGATGTTGTCACGAGTGCAGGACCATGGGGTTGTGCGTAAAAGAGCACATG